AGAAAATTTTTCACAGTATATGCAACAACTTTTATTCTAATATTTTTCCAACAATTTTGTATAAAAGAATGGTTACTTCTACAACAAAAAGCATAAAAATATAATTTCTAAACTTTGTGCAGAACTGGTGAAAATTCAGTAAATTTTCAACTTTTTAATCTGCTGGTGTCTCCATTATATTTCTTTGTTTGTTATGTTTCTTTGTGTTACGAGTATGTTGGCTAGTTGTGATGCCTTTAACTGCTCTGTTTTTACTTCCAGCTTATGCTCCATGCTTCTGCTGCCTCAGCTGTTGTCTCTTCCATTTAAGCTTTCCATAAATTAGGCAAAATTTTCTTTATTCGACTTTAACCCCTTCATAATCGGCCTTCCTTTGATTTGGTTCGTCTTTAGTGTTGTGCTACGCTCTCTACTCAGTTCATACACTGCCGTGCATACATACAATTTCACTCACAACAAAGTATTTAGTATAATAACATTTTTAAGGATCTCATAATTTTATCAAAAAATTGAGTGCATGTGCGAAGTTAAAAAGTTGGTTAAATAAAGATCAAATTAGATATTAAGCTTAATTAAATTCTTCAAGCCTAGATTATCAAATTTCTAAAATCATTTATTGTGACTGCTAAAACCTCAAAAAATGTTTTGTATAGAACCCTGATTCCCAAAGTGGTCGTAGTGGACCCCCAGGAATCCAAAGGAGATTCTCCGTTGGCTTGAGAAAAAATGGTGGTTCACAAGTTGTAAATGGGGGTCCACGAAAATTTATCTAGTTTCGATAGTAAGAACAAACAATGCAGGCAGATAATACACTGCTCAAAAAAGGGCGAGAAGGATTCAAAAATTTCGGACATTTTTGACGGGCTGTATTTCGGTGAAAAATGGTCATATTAACACTTAAAAAAAATCATATTGAAGCGCTACGGTTCTCATGCAATCCTAACAGATATTTCAAACAAATAATTTTGCATGTTTTTTGTTTTGTATGGTCCACGAGCTTTAAACAAATTTTTGGTTTGGCCGGGATATGGATCATATAGCCCGTTTTTAGCGTTTATTTCCTGTTTTGAAACCAGCCTTGATTATTTGAGAAGCGTATTTTAAGCCAGACTTTGCAAACATTCCCTCCTGAGGATTGAAATTCCATCTTCCTCCTCACTACAACTTCCTCTTTGTGAGTTAAAAAGAAAGAGCGCTCTTCAATTTAATTTATATTTAATAAAACTCAGATTTTTCATATCAGTATTTACCCCAACCGCCCATGCCACTCAAAATATTACTACTCATAAAAAAACGTAGCCAGGTAGGGGCAGGGGCAGCTGCCCCCTCTACAGCTACATAACGAAGGAAAAAAATTTAGAAATAACAAATACACAACTGTATGCGTAATCGAATTCGTAACTATGCTCTCACTTTCCACATAAGCTTGCGTTTTTCATCGTTGATGCAATGAACCACGCACAGCATTAAGCATTGAATTGGTACGGAATTGAATTAAAAACCCCACCATTGTGTGATGAACGGAAAGATGTGTCTTATACACATTTTTTTCGCGAATCAGCGACACGCAATAATTATGCTCCTAATATATCACGTTTGTGTGAAAGAAGATGATGGGAAAGATATAAGGCTACCAGAAAATTTTCCTGAAGTTATGGAAGAATTAGGAAAGTTTTAAATTCAGGGAAACTTTTTCACAAGAAAGTCTGCGTATAAATTGTGTGCTGCTATAAAAATTCAACGTGGAACCTACAGCACACATTATGCAAATGCAGACAATAACTAGATCACATCGCCGCTGGTCAGCATATTTAAAATATTTTGGAATGATCGCAAGAATGCAGAAGGGGTAACTACGGAGTAATTTAAAAAAATCTCGTTTGATTACAGCCGATGTAGGAGTAGAAATTTCTCTACCACGTTTGGTAGGTAAACAAAAAAAAAAACAGAAGTAACCCTCATCGGTCAATGAAAATGAGTACTGGTCTATAGTAAAACTAACGGCATCTTTACAACTACTCTTTTTCAATGAAAATACTCCAGCTTTTTCGCCGTCTAGATTGCACCCATTGTACTCAATTAAAGCCTCTACCCAGCATTGCAGCGGTCGACGGTTAACCGCTGTCAAAATTAAAATTCACAAAGGCATATGGAATGCTCCATACTTGCGGCGGCAGCGTTTTTACCACCCGCGGTTTTTGGATTGATTTAAATTTATTTATATTTTAACATCCCAGCGGGGACGGTACAATGTTGATTGAGTGTTGATTGTAGTAATTTTTATTATTTTCACGTTTGCCAATGTTTTCATCCATTTTCTCTTCCATACATACATACATGCACTTACCCTATAAAAAAAATATTTAATTTTAATGACAATTTTCAAATCAAAATGACAACTGACGGAAGCCGTCATGCGCCGCAATTATGTCTACTCTGACGGATTTCACTACGGCAGCTGTTCACTTACCGCCAACCGCTTAACCGTCGTCCGCTGTAATTCTGGATAGAACTTAAATGTTCCAGTGAAAAGGTGCAAAAGATCGCGAAGCATTTTCAACAGACTTATGATCTAGTTATTAGCATTGAACTCATTCTTTGGTACAATTTATGGAAGAAACAGAAAAAGAACTTGTCCGAAGAAGATTTGACGATGTTAAAGCGATAAATAGGTGTATTTCCATTTTGAGTGTTTTTCCATGGACATCAGCGATGGTGTAGCGATCCTTTAATACACTTTTCAGAGTAAAAACCTGGCTCAGAAGCACAACAGGGGCTCTATTTTGTAACTGTGAGAAAATGTAGTATACACCGAGTGCAAAACTCACAACCAAAAACTCGCCGACTAAAATTCACTGAGTTTTTCGGACAAGAAGTATACACAATTTTGACAGTTAAAACTCATTTTCACACATTCTGAATCGCAAAATGAAGAGTGCACACAATTTTCAGTGTACACTTGAAAACTCAGAATAGAGCCCAGGAGCCAGGCTCATGAGCGTCCATAGAAAACTCGTTACAGAAAACCACGAAATGATTCAGAAAATCCGAGATGTTTGTTATTAGATCAAAAATTGTTAAATAAAAATATATCAAAAAAAAAACAAGTATGTATATTTCAAAAGGGAGGGACCTAGGGTTATACTCCGACTCTGAACGGCGATTGTATTTTTATGAGAAACTATTTTTCATGGCCGAAATAAACTCGGAGGTTTGCCATTGCCTGCCGAGAGGTGACCGCTGTTAATAAATAACATTTTTTCTATACTTTTTGCGATGTTTCTTTCACCAGGGCTTGCACCCAATTTTAGTCTTTCTGTATGTTTGTACGCACATCACTCGAAGACTAATACATGGAATTGAACCCGGTTTTAACAGATGTATTGCCTGGGGTTTTTGAGAATTGCAATTTAAGTAAGTTGATAAGATAAAGTCAATATTGCAATATGGTTATCAAAATAAAGAGGTTTAAGAAGGTTTACAACCGAAAATACCTTTGTTGAAGGTTGCCACCTGTTTGAAAATTTAAATTAAATTTAATTGATAAGATATACTAAATATTACAATATGGCAATCAAACTGAAGATGAGTGTTGCCGCCTGTTTTAAAGATTTTATTCTATTTTACTGACAACGTTAGTGAAATATTACAACATCCCCATAGTGCGTATTTTTAATTTCACCCTATACCGATGATAAAAGTTCTTAATTAAAAAAAAATAAACTTTATAACATATCTACAGGCTAAGGTCTTTAATTTGACCTCTCATTTTTGAAATTTCTCTTCAAAAGTATTCTCAAACTAAAATCTTCTTAACCCTTCGGAGGGCGCGCTTTGAAAGTTACGCGACAATTTAGCCGCAAGGTGTATCTCAAAGGTTGACTGCATTTTTTTTTATTTATGTCGAAAAATCATTCAAACATAAAACATTTGAATAACTTGTGTTTATCCTGAATCATATTATAAGCATTTATTTTTAAAATGTTTATGCGTCATCATCAACAGTGGTGTTGGTACATTCCAGACATTGTGAAATATGCTTGCAATGTTTTCTGCAAACATTTTTGTTACAATTCATATAACAAATTTTTGTCTTATTATTCCTGGTACATATTCCTGGTTTCAATTTCTGTTTCGTAGCTGGTTTGCTTCTATATAAGTTTAAAAACATCTCCTTCTTTGCTTTTGTTGTTTCCCAGGGAACGAAAAATGACACTGAAGATGGCACAACGCCGAAACCGGTTTGTCTCCAAACCAAATTTGAGAAGGAATGACGGAAATTCGTTCTAAAATACATAATTTAAAAAACATCGTTTTTTTTTAAAAACCTAAGAAAATGAATATCATGATAGTTAAAAATTTTGCATTTCAAGCAGGTGGCAATGCTCTTCAAAATATTTTCAAACTATTACTGTTTGAAACTCCTTTCGTTTGTCGCCTATATGGCATGCCCAATATGATTTTTTAAACAGGTGGCAACCCTCCTATAGTTCAGCTAAGAAACAAAGCTTTTCAAACCCATTTCGATAAGGTGGCAACTCTTTTCAAAAAAATAAAACTTTATTGCACATACAGTCCAAACCTTTTAATTTGACACCTCATTTCAGAAGAACGAAGGACTGGTGCGGAGATGATGGCTTTGACTATTAAATAATTTGAGTTTAATTGTTTAACAGGTGACAACTCTTTTCGAAAAACTAAACCCAGCGCTTTAATTTGACATCTCATCTTAATCAAATCGGGTGAACGGAACAGATTTTTTGTCCAGGACAAAAAATTTCTTCGCGTATTATATGGGTATGTATATATGTAGATACACCTTTGAATAAAATGCGCGATAACCTGACTCTCTTTATAAGATTATAAATAGAATTTCCAGGAGAAATTCGATAATTTACCTACTTTCTAAATACCTTCGGAAATCTTTTTTTTTTTTTGAAAATCTCATTTCATAATGCTCTTTAAATCTATTTAATTTTTTCAATTCTAATTGCACTTACCTCGATCTCCGCGTCGTTGGATCTTTCATAACCATAGCCTCTGATATATCACCGAACCTGCTGAAGTAGTCTCGTAAACTTTCTGAAAAGAAGGAGGAAACAAATTTCAAATTTAACGATTGTACGTGCACACTTTCAATAAACAATCAAAAAAAACACAAATCTACGTTGCTTATATAGCCTCAACATATGGGCAACAAATGCACAGCTCATAATCCGNAAAAAAAAAACACAAATCTACGATGCTTATATAGCCTCAACATATGGGCAACAAATGCACAGCTCATAATCCGCGCACTGCATGAAGTCATATGCCAAAATTGGCCGCAACAGCTGAATGAAGCCAATTGTGCGTTGCCATAACTCACAAGTGCTGAGCGTGAATGCAGTGGAAGTTCTCGAAAATGACTCCAAATGGCATTTATGTTACACTTTAAATCGAATCGCTTTGTTGCAACGTTTTGCAGTAAGCAGAGAGAAGGAACAAAAATCATCCCAAACATTTATCAACGCAAACCGTTATATAGGATACATATGTGAAGCCAAATGTATCCAACTAAACGGCCTTGCCGCCATTCCTTCGCCTCGCGCCCCGAAGCTGCCTAGTCAGTTGTCTATCCAGAAGTCCACTTTGTTTCAGTTGCCACTCAGTGGCTTCTTCACTCATTCAACCAGCCAGCCATTCATCCTGCCGGGCAGCTATCCATTAACACCATCATTGGCAGCAACACGCATTCGACCCCCGACTACTTCTACTATGTATTATCTGCTGGCGTTCTCTCAACATTTAAACGCCTCATAAATCTAAAATACAATAAAAATTCAATAAAAGCAAGCGAAAAGCGCCGTTGCAGCACAAAAAAGTGCCAAATAACTTGCCACCAAAATATAAAACCACACGCACGTACATACATACATACATACATACACACTCGCTTGCATATTAGGGTGGCGGCCACTAGTTGCGGCAAATCTAGCATTGCTGACGGCAATCAGCCGCAGTTGCATTGTCGTTGAGTTCTGCATTGTCGCTTTTGTTTCAGTCCTGTTGTTGTACATACATACATACATATGTACATTCAAACATGCAACACGCTTAATTAGGAACAATAAAAACGCTAAATTTATTTGTTTATGACAGTTTAGGCTCGTAAATTATGTTCCAACAAGCACCGACTGAGTACCGTCTGCCAAGCAAAGTAGCTGTTGCAACAACAACGCGATAAAACTTACAACAACAGCACATAGGCTGACAAGAGAAAAGCGTTAGTAATTTAACAACAATAACAGTAATAAACAATGTAAATGTTGGCTATTAGGGCCCAGCTGGAGTGTAACGACGATCTGGCATGAATACGTTGCGGGCAGCGTTAAATCTCGAGCATTCGCTTGTTTGATGCACTTAGAAAGTGAAACTTATGGCCATGCATTAGTACATCAGATAGATATATTTATGCGTTCGACGGAAAAGAACTAACTGCAACTTTGAGGAAATTTTCGTTTTTTTTATTATCATAATTTGAATCTTTTTTTTTGTTGTGAAATTTTTAAACAAAGGAGTATACATATGTGCATAAGTACATATATACATATTTTTGACACCAAAAATAAGTTTAAATAATTTATAGTTTAACCTATGGCGAATGTAGATAAGGTGGTGTTGTTGCATCAGCTGTGAGTCACCGTTGTGTGAGAGAAAACGTGAGAGTCTTTGTAATTATTTCTGTCGCCCTTTCGTCATTCGGGCAAGAATAGAAGAAATTTGACAATGTCCCGCTAAAATCAAAACCAAATACAAGTAATTATTGTATTGTATTGAATCGATACGACCTTATATGTATTTGCCTTGGGTAAAACCTTTGCGAGACAGTCTGACGTTTGCCCGCAATATAATAGATGCAATCCCGTATTCGTCGGACTAAAACTAGTAAAACTCTTAAAAAATAAAAATTCGCTCAGAGCGAGAGAATAACATTGGAAAGTACGGGATCGCTTTCTAGTAAAAAATGGTAACCTCTGCCAACTTCAACATAACCTCCAAATTGTGGTTGTAAATTTTTGCTTATTTTATACGTAAACACACTCAGCTCACACATATAAATAACCAAACATACTTTCAAATTCATTAGAATCCACTTAAACAAGTAATTAAATACTTTTCAACATATACTTATTAGCAGAGTGTACTTTTCATTTGTTTACAATTTGGTTGCCAAACACACTACAGCTGATCGTTTGACACATTTACCAGTATTTACCAGCAAAAAATTCTCGGACTAAAATTGGTAACTTCTGAGAGAGACAGAACCGTATTTACTCTCTTTTTTGTTCTCTCAACAGTCAGAGAACAGAGTACGGGATCGATTTCCAGTAAAATCTGACTGATTCTGACTATTTCTGACTAGTGCGGACTCGTATGGGATCGTAACTAATTTTAAAATGCAAAACGCAAACTCACACACACATTCTCATTTTCAATTTCAAACAACAACAATTGAGAACAGTTTCGTTTTTTTATTTTCAATTTTCTATGATTTTCAAATGCTTTGAAACGTCCGAATGGCCCGAAGAACTGAGAGAATGATTTTGAACCGAACCGGTTTTTGAACCGAACCATCGCTTTTTTCGGGCTTCGAACCGAACCACGAACCGAACCGTTTTTATTTTTAAACGCCAAAACCGAACCGAAACCCATCGCCAAAAAAATGGTTCGGTTCGGTTCAAAATGAAAATCCGCTACAGAATTTTTCAACGTTTGTAATACACAAAAAAGTCTAAAAATGCAACCGATATAGTAAAACTGCAAAAATTTTTTTTGTGTAATGGCAACTCCGCGAGTTGTAAATTCGTCCATATGAAGAATGCTTTATTTTTTTTTTGTCTTCTATGAAAAAAATGCTTAACAACGCCAGTAAAAACAAAATTTCAAAAACTTGATTTTTTAGTTCTGATTAAAAAGTTTGGAGCTTTGATGCAACGTTGTTGAAGTTTGCAGTTTGAAATTTGAATTTATGTGCTTTTTATTATATAACGAGCTATAATTTTATAAAAAACTTGTGGACATTAAACCAACAAAAGAAAAACAGCCGCACTCATATTAATTTGGCCATAGGTATACTTGTACATAGGTATAGGCCTACATAGTGTAATCTCCAACCTACCGAAAATTAGAGCTTCAATANTCAAAAGCCGCACTCATATTAATTTGGCCATAGGTATACTTGTACATAGGTATAGGCCTACATAGTGTAATCTCCAACCTACCGAAAATTAGAGCTTCAATATTAAGCCAAGATTTTGAGGATTAATTCAAAATTCTGATTATGCTGTTTTGTTTACCCGACTAGCTAGCCTCACCATTTCGCCTTAATCGTGTTGATTTTAAATAATTTTCTTCCATACAAAAAATTTAAAAATTAAAAAAAAATAAAAATTGTCAAAAATCAACTTAAAAATTTAAAATTTCTTCTAGAAATTCTTATTAGAATGTTTGCAATTTAGATGAAACTTTGCAGAATATTTATAATTTTTTCACAAAGTTTAAAACTTGAACTTATGTGGTTAAAAAAATAAACATTAATAAACAAAAGAAAAATAGCCAAAACTTGATAAATTGTCGAGTCCCTATTTATTTTTCCACCACTATACTAGGGGGTTGAAATTCGATTTTTGCTACACACAGTTATGCCAAATTTAGTTTAGCTTTTTTGAAAATAAACGCAAAATTCAATTTTTTCTAGAAAAATTCGATTTTGTCCGAATTTTAGCACCCCAAAGTTCGATTTTGAAAATTCGCCATTTTGGAACTAAAATTCGATTAATACCGAATCTCGAAGCTTCGAATATCGAATCACTACACTATGTATGTGGATATTTGAATTTGATCTCAGTAACAAAGCCTTTAATACTCATATTATGGATTTGTCATATTTTTGTAATATTTGTATCCTTTAGCATAAAGAAATTGAACCATTTGATCCGAACCGACCCGTGCAAGATTTTTCTAAGAAATTATATTATTATAATAATATTATTTTAAAATTTTTGGATAATGGGCGTGGCGCCGCCCACTTATAATCACAAACGTGTATCTGGGTAACAGGTTTATCACTTTCTACCAAACTCGGTGCACTAAATACGGAAAGCAATTCGTTGAAAATTATTCAAATCNATTCAGAGATACTCGTGAACCGGTTCTAGAACCGGTACAAGCTTTTTCTAAGAAATTATATTATTATAATAATATTATTTTAAAATTTTTGGATAATGGGCGTCGCGCCGCCCACTTATAATCACAAACGGATATCTGGGTAACGGATTTATCAATTTCTATTGAACTCGGTGCACTAAATACGGAAAGCAATTCGTTGAAAATTATTCAAATCGGACTAAAATTAAACCCGTTTCCCGTATAACGGTACATTTCAGAAATACGAAAACTCCGATATTTCACTAACTGAGGACGCTAATTTACTCCGAGTTAATAGTTACAATAATCTCCTAACAATAAATACGACTGCTATAGACTTTTAGGAATTGGGCGTAGCACCGCCCACTTTACGACTACAAGGTGTATCTCGGTAACCACTTTATCGATTTCTACCAAACTTGATTTAATAATATCATTAAGTCTAAATCAACATATTGTCGTCGAAAACGTCATGCAAAGGAAGTTTAGAGAAAATTGAAACGATGATATTTGATACCTGCGCTGGGTATATACATACCTTGAGTTCGGTCTCCCCCGAACTTATACTTCTTTACTTATTTTCATAAACTCAAACATCACAAAAGTCGATCCAGCCGTTCTTGAGTTATAAATGGTGTAACTAACCCGAATTAGTTTTATATATAAAAATTTAGCAGCATCTGCCAAGACTCCAGACCAAATATAAATGAGTTCACGAAGTGATTTTATATTACGGCTCATTGTGTTGATCGCATTTAACGCAATCAAAAGCATTAACCAATAGTAATTAGAATATTATCCCGAAATCACAATTGGAATCACAAATTGCAAGCAATACAACTCAATTTAATTTTATTGAGCACACATACATACATACATAAGTAGTAGCAAACGGA